GACAGCACAAACGCCACTGACATCGATTAGCCGCCATTTCTTGCAACGTTTCCAGCCAAGCACAGACGGGGTCACGGGGACCCCATCCTGGAAGGTGTACAACACCAACAACACCCAAACTCTTCGTGATCTCTTTCACGCCTTTCTGCCAAGTCATATGCTGTCCACCTCGCGGTTCGCGCCACCCTGAAAGAAGCATGGAGAACAACACTCATCTCGGTAGACGGTGTTTCGGCATGCGTAGCAAATAACTGAGCCATCGTGGTCGATGATGCTGGATGTTTTCCCAGATCGACGTGCCTGCAGCACAACCAAATACCCGTTTTCTAATCACCTTGTTACTAACGCGCTGACGCCATCCGAAACCAGCCACGCCTCTGAGGCATCGGTGGTCGAAAACCTGAAGACGCCTCACATCATCTACCCACAGAGGCCATGTCTCACACCCATACAATAACATAGCCCTTACTATAGCCTGGTACATACGACCCTTAAGATTCAGTGAGATGTCTTTTTGACGCCACAAGTGACGCAGATTAGTAAACGTGATTCGAACCTTTGAGATTCTTGCACTGACTTCATCACGCTCGCAGCCACTGACGCCAGTTCGCAACTCAAGGTAGCGGGTAGTAGAGATCTTTTAGGGACGCTGCCTGCTCGGCGGCACATCTCTGCTCTTTCAGTACCGGTGTTCGGCGTTCACAGCAGCAATGATGGCGTTTTAACCCGGAGGACCAGAAATAATTTTCCGTCCGTTCTTTGTTCACTGGTCAAACTGACGAGCTATATCGCGACGTTCATCTTTAATAGAATTGATAATTAGGGTTAAGTCTTTTCGTTGATTACGTGGAAGGACCAGCAACTAAGGGTACACAGGTGAAACTGTACTGCTAGTTCTGGACTATATCAAAGCAGAAAGCTTACCAGAAATGTTCCCAGTAGTGACTTTGGTTTCAGCATGCATCTTGCACCCTGAATACGGTGAAACCCTTCAACCAGAGACACTTATCCAGAGAACCGGAATACCCTCATGTGCGGGTGCATTTTTGTTTTTTAGACATATACTCAGTAGGAATTTCGTTTTCCTAAGTCCGTTTGGCGAGAGGAAGCACGTGTTTATAAGATATGGAGTTGGTTTTCCTATTTTTAAAGTACAAGCGTTTGGTTTTAAATAATAAATGCCGAGACTACATTGTCGTTGCTTCATGTTCATTACGAGTCTACCGTATGACCCGATAGCTTCGAAAAGCGTTCGGCGTGGTCTTCAAAAACCTTCACCCTTGAGTACAGTGGTTGTTTTGTGTCGTCCAAACAGACATTCTTCGAATGATTCCCCCCGTTACACAACGGAATTGCCTCGGATACCTTAATAAACAGGTTTCAGAAACTCGAGAAGGCAGTGTGTAGTCTGGGAAAGCAAGTGCCTTCGCTCACCATGGTGTGGAACAAACGTCGGAAATCCACCATGTTAATGTTTGCGTGTTAACAAGCACACGCCAATGGTGACACCGCATTTCTGCCAGCTGATAATATCCGGCAACGTTGACTTGGGGCCAGTTGGATGGGTTTGAATTATGCTACGTTTTTACAGCATAATCCGTCTTCACTTTTTGTGTAGGATTGTAATACTGCAGCAAAATGTCAGCAGGCTGAACGCATTCAGCTGCAAAACCTAGTGGATAAGGGTGGGATATTGGTGATAATCCTCCACTTAAAACTGTGTGGGACTATTTAATAGCTTTTGTCCAGTTGACGGATCCTCCTTCATTTTTTTATGCTAAACGCATGTGGAGTTCATAAATTTTCCCTAGTAGACTATGTTGCAGTTTTTGCTTGTACTTTGAGTCTTGCCACAAGACTCATCATCATCATCAAAGCATGACATACTATGTTGCAGTTTTTGCTTGTACTTTGAGTCTTGCCACAAGACTCATCATCATCATCAACAGCATGACATCAGTGTTCAACACCGATGCTTCACTGCCGTCCTTGAATCATTAACAGAATATTTTGTCAAGTGTTGCCAACAGATTGATTGCTAGAATTAGAAAGCCCGGTTATGCCTTCGACATGATCGTCTTTTGATATCAGTGCACAGTCATACTGTGTGACTGTCACTCCTCGGGCAATATTCGTAGAACATTTTATTCTGGCTACGCTGATCTATTTATTTTGGTCTAATACGATTGTTTGCTACTTCTTGATTTTCAGGGTGACTGAGGTCCTACCACTGGAGTTTTAACTTATCCATTTGATTAGTCGCGCGGCCGTCAATGTCTTGGTAAGTTTTTTATTACCGAAGAGATTGTAGCTTGTCCGGGAAGATATTGTGATTCTGTAGGCCGTATAGCTAGTTCGACATTTCCTTTTTTTTCATTGAGTTGTCTTCCATTGAGCTGTCGACCTCGTAACTAAATTTACAACAGCTGTCACAATGCCAGCTGCATTTCAGTGATCCTCCAGGATTTCGTTTGTAGCGCAACGAATTTGAACCGCTTGGCATGTCCTGAACAGAAGTGCGTTCGTGTTTTGTCTTGACGCCAAACATCAACTTGCTGCTCGCATGCTTGAGTAACCACTAGCTGCCAACAGCTAAATGACTGGCGACAAATGTTTAACATATTTCAACCCAGCGGCTAGCATGACAGCTGTGCTAGAGTAAAACGTTCCAGTAAGGGGATCTTCGGGACTTTTCCTTCGACACTGTTGACTGATAAGCGTAAGTGACGGGTGTTGGTAATTCCAAGTCTCGTTTTTCACTAGCAGGTTAAATGATGGAGGATTCACTGTCCCAGTAATACTGATTCAGCAATCAGCAGCTGCGTACATACCAATATCACTCATTTTTTGGCGGTATGGTCCCCAAATATAAAAGCTTAAGTGACACTGGTCCTGTGATTTGCGTGGTTTATGTGGGTAGCTGTGGCTAACTGGGTTAAACCGTTTGATGGATTCCCATTAATATATCGCACCTCATGTAGGCTGTTTTTCATATTCCAATAATTATAATTGTTTTTGGCTGAACGCTTTTTACTATACTAACTGCAAAGTTCACTTTAGACCATCGTTGATGAGTAAACCACTCTTGTTGCAAAATACACTCATTTGCAAACAAATTTGGTTTTGCGAGAGACTCACCTGGAACCCAGCTGAATCTCTCGTTTGTGATGTTTCCAGGCAACTGAGTGTGCTGCACCAGGCCGCCTCATGTTTCACTTGCTTTGATATTCGAGATATCGCGACACATGTATATATTCGTAATGCACTATTCATAAGGTTGCTGAAAATTCTTGTTGCATTTTTGGTTTTGTCACCAACCAATAGACCGAACACTTTATGTCTGTTCTCAACGTGGGAACGGCGAATTTAGTGTCTCTTCGGAGCAACACAGATATAGTGGCCTCTTGTTGAGTTGGTACATGGCGTCGCGTATGAGTTACCTTATACATAATACTCTGGATTGAAGGTAACATAAAAGGCCAGTCCGTGTGTGCGTATGTGTACTTTGGAAATCTCGTTTGTTGCTACTTAATGTAATGCATGTTCGCCTACACGTGTACAGTCAACTTGCTACGCTCTGGCTTTGTTTTCATCTCATTTCCGCATTCTTGTTGGTATCGATTCTGTCACGCTCCCGCGAAAATACCTCTACTCCGAGATCGAGCCACCTTCTTAAGCACCCTGGTGATCTATTCCAGCTCCTATTGTACCATGTGCTACCAACAACCGCAATCCTACTACATACTGAATTCATATGATCATGTTACTTGCGACCACAATGCGAGCCGTTTCAGGCATAATGGAAAAGGCGAATCTGCCATGTGAATCCCGGTCGGATGTACGTCAGTAAATTGCTGTTGGTAAAACTACGTCGGTTCCCGTAAATTGAAAATACATTTGTTTCGTATAAGAAAGATGCCGTCCGAAGATTCAGTGGGAGTAGCCTATTATTACTAAGAGGCTCCCAAGTTGGGCTGTCCCATCCAGTGGACGGATTGTTGCCAACTAGTCCGATGGGTGTATGCAAGTCACGAGTCAGCGCATGTGTTAACCGTGAGCCAAATCGGGACCCGCTGATTTTTTCGTTTGATCACCAACCAACCAAATTAACAAGAAAAATCCACATGTCAATCTTGCCAACTATCCTGCACCATTGTGATTCTAATTGGAGCCTAATTATGGGTTTAACTGTTGGATCGGCTCACACTGGCTCACTCACTGAACCCGTCAATTTATACTATTCATTTAATTGTGGAAACCGTTGAAATAGGTCATATGTGGTAGCCGGCATCGGTACTTAGCTGCCACGCCACCCGAAGTAAGCACGAGGGCTTGGATACTGCCAGTTTGCCCAGGCCTAGACAGGAGAAATCGAAATGCAGAGGTTGGGTTCGAACCACGGACCTTTAGGTTCACGCTCTAACCACTGGGCACTCTCGCCCCTCCAGTACGTCAAGACTACAGTGAATTGGTTAGTCTATATGATTCCAGCTGGAACCAAAACTCTTCCATAGTACTTGACCTCTGTGGAGATCGTGTAACAGCACTTCATGTCATTCTCTCTGGGGAGCTAAATTAACGTGTTTTTGGGGTGATTTTTCTCTTGCCTTGGGCCGGTGTTGTACTATTAACTTAGTCATCTCCCGATAGGCCTTCAGGAGACCATACTGCCCTGCACAATAGGTATGAGCAAAGTAGTTAGAGCTTTTTGGTTTCACCCGCCCCACTTGCATGTGATCGATTTTGTGTGTGACCTATGTAAGTTACTTGCGGCTTTTTAATCCTTCGCAACGATCATATATATATATATATATATATATATATATATATATATGTTTCCCAACTGAGCGGGTTGCGTTTTATAGTCCCGATACGGTACTTCGATCGAAATCAGCATAGTAGGTATGAGTATTACTTTATTCCCTGATTTATTGATGTATGGTTTTCCCACTTTATGAACCGCCACTTTGTTGATTGTACTCCTTAATGTTTTGTTTCAGGCGTTCTTTGGGTCGTCTCTTTTCTGGTATCAAAGGAGCCTACAACGATATTAATCCATCGACTCTTACCGGCGCTATCGATGTCCTTGTTGTGGAACAGCCAGATGGTTCGTTCTTGAGCGGACCGTTTCACGTTCGGTTTGGTAAACTGACAGCAATTTCTCCTGCTGACAAAACTGTCGAAGTCTACGTAAATGGGAAGTATGTGAACTTCATTCGGATGCAGCTTGGCAGTGCTGGAGATGCTTATTTTGTGGAACCAGATGAATCCGATGTCAGTGGTGAAGATTTTCTTAGATCTACTGAGGAAGAACTCTTGCGAACACACTGGCCAAGTATCGCTTCTCGCAGACGCCGCCGGAGACTTCGTCGGGACACTGCTCAAAGTGAATCAGACATGAATCAGCCTGAGTACGAAGAACTGTTTGATGAGGGACCTCAGTCCGATTGTGAACAGTCCACTTTATCGAGCCCAGATCATGATCCACGGGTTGCACACTTCATCTCCGACAGTATGCTCCATGAGACTTTTGCATCTAGGGATGACCTGGAATGGGCTTGGGGGAATTTCCCTCAACGTAAATCCGAAGTTTACATGGGTGCAAAGTCTGTAGTTGTGGATACTGATGAACCCCCACCACTAACCCGGAAATCCTGCACAACTCTACAGTCACCGTCTTTTGCAGCTGTACCCAAATCTGAAGGAGTATATTTGGAAGATCTAGTTACGCCGGAAGTCGATCAGACTGTGAAGGAAGCTTACATTTACCCCCCAGCACGTACCTTGTCCCGTTCACCAAGATCCCGTGTGCATCAGGATAGTGGTGGATGTTGTGTGGATGCCGGGTACCGTTCTGATGGAGAACATTCTCCTCGTAGTATTTCCCCCATTTACCCGAGTGTATTTGGACTTCGTCTTTCTCTTTGTGGCTGGCCTTCTCTGGGATCCCAGTTGTCGGAGGAGAAATTTTTCGAACACCTTGTTTCTTATGAGGAATTTATTCAAGATCCAGAAGCAATCTTATCCAATCCCAATCTGACTATACAGCTGAACGGAAAGTTCGTCAATTGGCAGGTTGCCGCGCCTTCGATTCTGAGTATCTTGGCATTTCAAAGTGAATTACCACATTGCGTCGTCCGTCGTCTAGAAAACCTACATATGCGTAAGAAGGAAATTCGCCGGACTTCTTGGTTTAGTTGGGGCTCACGAGCTGCTGAAACTGCGGACCACGCGCACTCAGAGAATACTGCTTCAGCTGTACAGCCTCTTCCGCAGGTAGCGGAGATTGAATCACCCGAGCAATCTGAATTGAAAAAAACGCCTTCAGTTACGGTGCCCGATATCGAGACAACGGCTGCTGATAGTTGCAAGCCCAGTGGTAGGAGATCGAATCGTTTGTCTTCAGAAGAGATCGCTCGGTTACAACTAAAACCTGGACGTAACGAGGTGGAGTTCCGGGTGACAACGAAAATCCAAGGTACATGTATATGTTCGGCCTCTATTTTTGTATGGCACTGGTCCGACCGTATTGTGGTCTCGGACGTGGATGGTACTATTACTCGGAGCGATTTGTTAGGCCATCTTTTGCCGATGCTGGGCCGTGACTGGACCCATTTCGGCGTTGCTGGTCTTTACAATTTGATTTCTCGTAATGGCTATCGTTTTATCTACGTGTCAACTCGTGCCTTGGGTCAGGCGGATATCACTCGGAGCTACTTACGCCACGTGAATCAGAACGATCTATCCTTACCCGAAGGTCCCATACTGTTATCACCGAATTCCTTGCTTCATGCATTTCACCAAGAAGTGATTGAAAAGAAACCGGAGAATTTCAAAATTCAATGTTTGCTGGATGTGTGTTCTTTATTCCCCTCTGATCATCCACCGTTTTATGCCGGATTCGGCAACAAGACTAATGACGCTTTCGCCTACGAAAAAGCTGGAATTGACCGTTGCCATATTTTTATTGTAAATCCGCGTGGTGAGGTCCGTAACGAATTTCAACCGGCGAAAATCACTTCTTACACCGAGCTTAGCCAAATGGTTGACCATTACTTTCCTTCCATTGTAAAACCAAGCAAACAGGCCATTCCAATCTCTACAACTGACACCGTTCAAGCGAACACCACTTCAGAAACACAGAATCTCAAAGCGGATTCCGCCAAAAGCTTTGATGACCCCAACATAGATATGTCCAAGTACTCTTGTTTCACTTATTGGCGGACAACAGAGTTCGAACCTTGTTCTACCTATGAATCATCCGCTGAGCCGTAGGTCTCTTTCTCATTCTTGTTTCTCTGAATCATTTTTAGTATACTCGACTAGTTCAAGTTTCAAAAACCACCATGTCTTTCGTTTCACTGATTGTAATACTACCTTTTTTCACCAGATTCCTCTCTATTCACACTCCGGAACTGAGGCTTTCTGTTAGCACCGGCAGAAGCTTAGCTTGGTGCGCCAGGGTATGAACATGTCAATATGTACTAACTTCATAGTGCAAAATGGCATCTTTCTGCCAATTACTTTTCCTCTCCATCGACCTCTTTTCTACCACAATTTGAACCCACAACCGATTGTTTCAGGTATATTTTTCGTTCATAATTTGGACTAAATGAGGAGAATTAGGATAAGAGCGCATCTGTGCTACTGGTTCTTTATTTCTGGTAGTTGAATATATACGATTTTCAGCAGGATTCCTTTCTGGCTTTCCCCTATTGTCTGTGTGGACGACGGTTACACGTGTTGTCACTTCCTCCTCATGATCCAATGATCGTTTCAGCTCCTTTTGCCGCACACTTATGGCTTCGAATTCCTTACCCTTTGAGGACATGTTCGATCAGGCGGTTAAGCATGTTCCGCAACTAGCGAACGATCTGGATACCGAAACTCTTCTGTACTTTTACGCTCGATACAAGCAGGTTAGTTCGTGTTGAGTTGCCACCTTGTCTATGGATTGGCGTCAAATGGTGTTCACAGGACTGATTCCAGTGTTATTGGCATGGTGACAGATCCCGGGTTATTCCCCTTACGGAATTCTCATTGCACGGTATCATTCGGAAGCCTTTCGATAACTTATCTTTTGACGATTGAACTAAGAGTCAAATCTGGATGTATGTATGCGATCGAGGATAAATGATTACCTGATATTGACTTATGCGGTTTCGCTGGTTGAAGGAACTGCTCTGACATTATGTTCAATAGTTTTGTCAACAAGTTGATTCTGCAATGTGCAGTGAGGCATATCCTGATACCCCTCCATTTCTCTTGGTCACGAGTTTTTAGAAACAGTTGAACTACAGTAACCTCTATTCAAGAGAGCACAACGGGGAAGGGTATATTCCTCTTCCTATGTTGGCAAGCGGTTGTGTAATTTTCAATTGGGACTTCGTGCTGTTAGTGAAGCCATTCTATGCTGAAAAGTCGAGAAATATTGCACAGCTGTTTCATTCTTATTGGAACTCATCAGCTGTGCATGTTTCACAAAACTCCAGGGAGTCTCGAACACGCAATTCCCATGCTATTGGTCTGAACGATGAGCCTTTCGGCTCAGTGACTGTGATTAACTCGTACTTGGACAGATATTGCCGATAGGATGTTCCGTTTCTAAAGAACTCCCTCTTGAATAAGACATCTTGATGCAACGTGGTGGACCTGTGTGATGATCGTCAGGCACTGTTATCTAGGTTATTATGAACAACTGGAAACTAGACTGAAGTAGTGGTCCTGAAACCAGGTGATATTTATTTTGTCGTGACAATGATAATTACTGGGACGTAGATAAACATCGAGCTATCATGCTTTGACGCAGCTTCACCCAGTTTGTTTGTCAGCTGTTTCTTGTCCTGTATGCGCGTCTTAAGCCAGATCACCAGGCAAAAAAGAATTACTCCATGATGAGACCGCATAGTGCATCAGCGGTGCGTTTGATGTCGGCCAATTACGGTGTCAGATGGCCCATAAATGAGCAGATGACTTAGAGCATTAGAACAGGGGGATTCCTCTTGGGGAGTAAAAAAAGCATATTCGTAATGCACTACTCATAAGGTTGCTGAAAATTCTTCGACACCCCACGACCGGTTTCGCCCTTTTTGGGGCTCATCAGGTAGGCGCCTGGAAACATCACGAACGGGAGATTCGGATTACAGGTCAGTCTCTTTCGAAACCAAATTTGATTGCAAACGAGTGTATTTCAGTAAATGGAGCAATTTCGAGGACCTGATCGGGATCGGAACGGGTCCGTGCTGTTTGTTACGAGTAGCCCACTTTGACAAAATAATTGGACAACCGAGATCGAGAAGCATGCAGTTATATGCGTGTGGTCTTCGTACCACAAGGTCAAGAGGCCAGTTGAACAGCTCTGGTTTCGCTTGAGACATTGTACTGGACAGCTGAGTAGGTGATTCTGACTGGTATGTGGAGCCGGACCATTGATGTAAAATTTAAGACACCATATAATGGAATGATAAGCGATCTCGCTTCCCACTTTACTGGTAGGTTGTACCAAATCTCCCTTCTTTGATCCCATACTTGCAATGGAGTTATCTGAATGTCACCCTGATTGCAACCCTCCGTATCTCAGTTTAGGGGGCAGCTGCTCAAGATGTGTGTGATTCAGTCCCCAAGCTTTTTCATAACTGGTTGACGAAATTCATCAGCATTCCTACTCAGAATCTAGCCACGTAAGATGTTTAGAATTCTTTGGATGGTCGTTGTTTAATGCAGTACATTTTTAACCGGATGCTAGCTAATGAAAATGTGAAGTATAGCGACGTCTGTGAGATGGTAGTCGGTACCTGTATCTCTATCCTTTTGTTATCATGAGCCGAATACAGCCGAGCTTCGAAGAATACTTGCTTACAAGCTCATGTACGACTCGCCAGTTTGAAGAAGTCCGAATGCGCAATCGGGACGAAGAACAGCGCTACTGAGGATTCGCAAAATCCTCAGTATTTTCTACTACCCTTCTGCGGATGTCTTAGTCAGTGCAATCGCATGTCCAACGATCTGCCTTACTATCACGATTGATATTGTGATAGAAATTGGAGTGTAATTTATTAAGCGTAGTGCATTCAGTGCAAGCACACTGTGCTACTTAGCAATGCACCATTTCATGGCGCTACTGTGGCGTGTTTGCGTCTTGCCTTTGTCCACCCTTGCAAGACTAAGTCCTTTATGGTGGCCAGCACTCTGCCATCAACATTATTCGGTATGGGTGATGATGACAGCCCTGCTGGATGTACGGGGCAATAGAGGATCGACGAGCCCTCATTATCGGTCAAATGGAGCAGGCAATAAGATCCGGGAAAACATTACGAGAAAGTACGAATTAAAGAAAGCACTATGATCAAGAAACTTCAGTTGAGGATCCCCACTGAATCTGCTTTTTCGTTAGTCTTTTCAAAACCCGATCGTGAGGCGTTACAGGGGGTCTTGTCTTCTTCCTGGGTTGGTCATTTTGTAATCACAGTTTTTTGCAGCAATAACACAGCCTCTAAATACTTTTCAGATGATTTTCCTTAAGTGTTCACTAGAGCGCTTCAACTGAGGCTTCAAAAGGCGAGTTTTACGGAACGTTTATTATAAACGTTCTTTAGCCATGATCTATTTTGTGACCCCCTGGAGAGAGGCCACCATCAGAAGTGATCAAATGTTTTCCGTCTTCAGGGTGACCTCTTTCCGAGGGAGGAGGGAGTTCGCCAACGTTGACCCAGCCCTTTAGAGGACACAATCACGAGGATAGTAGGTATATGACCTCTGGGAGTGGAACCATTCGGAAGTTTTTCTTATAGAGATTACAGAACTGTGTTCCTCGTTGATTCCATAATCGCACACACATGGAGTTCTCTGTGGACATCCACTCAACCACTTGCCCACAGTTGGCCGCAATGGTATTGAACAACCAGGCATTTCCTTGGAATGTACCTGTCCTAGTAGCAATCATTTTAGGTTCCATAGAAGAAAAACTTCCAATCTGTTGTCCAATCTACAGTTCATATAATTTCCTAAGGTACCAGAAGACGTCATCTGCGACCTGACACAATATCACTCACTTTTCAGGATATCAGCTGAAGAAAATTGCGTGCAATCGACGAGCCTGGTGACTGCTGCACGGGACCCTCCACGAAACATAGGTTAGGCAGCTGGTGTTGTCGTGCTAGGATGAAGTGAAAACGTATTCAGTGTTGAATATAATGGTGCAATTGATGGAGCCATAAGTGCTGTTCTTGGATGGATTATCAGTCCACTGGAATCGTACACTTTGATTTACACCCTAATCCAGTAGATGTGCTTGAGGTATCAATTAGATACACTGGGTTCGTGTTAATTACCGTTAATCTCGTGTTTATAATAGGGCAATAGAAATGGCGCCACACGGGGTTCATCGTAAACTGTTGCACAGTTAAGTTTGTTGTCCACAGTAGTTTAGCGACAATATATGGCGCCGCGATTGTCTCGGATTAAGGAAACAACGCGATGTTCAGGTCACAGCACTGCATCGCATCTGTGGTAGTGCAAAATGTGAATTTCCAACAATCCTACCAAGTACAAAATATGTCATGTGTGAGTTATGATTGAAATGGAGGAACGCAGCTGTCCAAAATTACCATCTCTCAGTGCCGAACCATTATTATCATTCGTATTATTATTATTATTATTACTTACCAGCTAGGCTAAGCATCTTATGAATCAGGAGGAATAAAACTTTCAAAGCCTATGACCACTATTATTCTTGCTCTTGGAAAGTATAGAACGGCTTCCGTGTAACCTATTTGTCAGGTTGCTTTCTTCATCAGTTGCTTCCGCATGCGGATACTTTTCCCATCTGTTCCCACGGTCGAACCTCCTTCTTATTGTACTTGGATCTCGTAGTCAGGCTACTGGACTAGTCGCGCATACTCAGATTACATTGGGCTAAGTCATCACGAAAATGTAGCGCGAGTGCACCAAATGCTGACCATGATACCACTTGTCAACTAATATTTTCTGGCAGCCTGTTCAGTAGAATACAGTTTCTGGAATAGCACCTTTGTGTTCCTACTCCTCAGTAATGCTGTTAACAACCAGATGAGTAGGTGCCACTGAAAACATCTCGGCATCGACGGGATACTCATACAACGAGCCTAAATGCTTAGATCAACCACAAGTACTCCCATTGACTTTATCGCCAGAGTTTCTCGACAAATAGTATGCTGCAGGCCCAACCAAAATACTTTAAATTCTTCTGGTGTCTATACGTACATCAGTATGCATCGTCAATTGTGTTGAATATGGCAGTGGAATACCAGTTGTGGCATGTTGAATGTACAGGTAACAGCGTGGCTCTTTTGAATCCTGACAAGGTGGCAGTATAGCCAATCGGATTGGGGTACACAAAGTCAATGTGTAATCTTAGGGTTGCATAGGACGGATACGTCTATAGCACAATGGCAGTGCTTTATCTTATTTCCAGGTCGGAAAACTG